CCCCAGGGGGGATGGTCACGCCGCAATCCCTTCTCCTCCGTTCTCCTCTCAGGATCTTGGGCACTTACACACACGCGCCCGGCGTGAGTTTAAGCCACTAGGTCCAGGACTCAAACTGCGTTCGACTACATGGGAGTCCAGCGACATAGCAATTACGCCAACTGCTGGTCCCAAATTATACATTTTTAAAAAAGATTTTGTCATTGGGTGCAAGTGCTCACTGAAGAGAGACAGAGACAGGTTAAATGAGAAATCATCCCTCAGGGAGGATGGCCACACTGCAATTCCTTCTCTTCCATTCTCTCTTAAGATTTTGGGCACACATGCACACATTTCAGACCAAGATTCAAACTGTGGTCAGTCATGTGAAAGTCCAGAGCCTTAACTACCATGCCGCCTGCTAGCCCCATACATTATTGTTTTAAAGAAACTAATACTTAAAACTAAATAAAAGTTAAAATAATTTTTTTTAAAAATAGATTTCTGGGAACCAGCAGTTAGCGTAATGGCTATGTCGCTGGACTCCCACGTAGTCGACCACGGTTCGTGTCCCAGACCCGGTGACTTAAAACTCACGCCGGGCGCGTGTGCGTGCGTGCCCAAGATCCCGAGAGGAGAATGGAGGAGAAGGGATTGTGGCGTGACCATCCCCCATTTTTCTTTCTCACTACCCTCCTCTTTCTCTCTCTCTCTCACTGTCTCTCTCTGGTCAAATTGAATAATAATAATAATTAATAAAATTAAATAAATAATTTTTTTCTTTTTTTGGAGAGGTTTTTGCTATTAGGGAAAGTGCGCTCGCCAGACAGACAGAGAGAGACAGAAAGCGAGAAATCACTCCCCAGGAGGGATGGTCATGCCACAATCCCTTCTCCTCCATTCTCCTCTCGGGATCTTGGGCACACACGCACATGTGCCTGGCGTGAGTTTAAGCCACTGGGTCCGGGACTCAAACCATGGTCAGCTAGGTGGGAGTCCAGCGACATAGCCATTACGCTAACTGCTGGTCCCAATAAATAATTCTTTTTAAAAAATGGATTTCTACAATTTGGAAGAAAAAAATTGTGATTTTTTTTTTTAATTTAGCCAAGTTGCCTACCCCTTATAAGAATGAAAAATATAAGGAGACTTCAAAAAACTTGTAGAAAGTGCTAGGTGGTGGTGCAATGGTAATGCAACTAGAACCACATGAGAAAGGTCATGGGTTCACATCCTGGGACCTACTGGTACTCCAGGTATGCATGGGTACCCAAGATCCAGGATTGGCTGAGGCTGAGGCTGAGGCTAGGTGTGGGTTGTGGCATGGTGGGCCTTATTAGAAGTATCATTCTTTTTGTCACTCTCATGGAAAAACAAATAAGTAACTCAAAAAAAGAAAACAAGTCCTGGCCCTCTCCAGCTGCCCAGGGTTCTTTCATATCCATTGGATAGTGGTTATCTTTTCCTGCCTAGCTGCCTGAGGATTGACCACCATCATGAATGACACAGTAACTATCTGTACTGGGAAGTTCATGACTAACCTACTACTTCAGAGGAAACAAATGGTCATTGGTGTCCTTCACCCTGGGAACACAACAGTACCTAAGAAATTCAGAAAGAACTAGCCAAGCAGTAAAAGGTCACACCAGATGTCATCTTTGTGTTTGGGTTCAGAACACATTTTGGTAGTGGCAAGACAACTGGCTTCAGCATGATTTATGATTCTTTGGATTATGCAAAGAAAAATGAACCCAAACATAGACTTGCAAGACATAGCCTGTAGGAGAAGAAAAAAAAAAAATCTCAAGAAAACAGCAAAAGGAACATAAGAACAGAATGAAGAAAATTGAGGCAGCTGCAAAGGCCAATGTTGGCCAAAAATGAGCTGGAGATGGAGAACCGTTGAAGGAGTA